TATACAAACATGACACCAGTGAAGTAACAAGCAATGGGAATTCACCTTGGTCTTGCCCAACTTTGTCTGAAATACATCCTGGGTCATTCTATGTTGGTTCGGAGGTTTCATGAACATTTTGTTTTCCCCCCGAGCATCAGCTTAGATCAGGGTTTCTCAACCTTGGCCATTTTAAGATGTGTGGACTTCAATTCCCAGAATTCCCCCAGCAAGGCTGGCTGGGGGATTCTGGGAGTTGAAGTCCACACATCTTAAAGTGGCCAAGGTTGAGAAACCCTGATCTAAGCTGATGCTCGGGGGGAAAACAAAATGTTCATGAAACCTCCGAACCAACATAGAATGACCCAGGATGTATTTCAGACAAAGTTGGGCAAGACCAAGGTGAATTCCCATTGCTTGTTACTTCACTGGTGTCATGTTTGTATATGTTTCTATGGTGTTGGCCAGATTTTCCATCTTATTCTTTATTTTTAACTTGCTCTTCATTTATATTGTTTTTCTATTCAGATTGTGTTTTACTTTATCTGTTGTACTTTGAACCCTCCAGAGTTGTTCTGGAGTTGGGCAGTGTCCAGATCGAATAAAATGATGAGGATGATGGTTGGTGTCACAGTCAGACAGATGTTTAGACTGGATTTGGCACTTTGATCCACCTATTGAGTCCTTCCCAAGGACCTGGGGTAGGCAGATGTCGTTGTTTATTATTGTTTATCATTCATTTATTAATTATTTCTTATTATTCAACAAGTAAGATGGCGCTACTCGGTCTTGTGGATGGTAGCAAGTGCCAGCTATGCCAACTTTTTCCACCAGCCACTCATAAAGAGAGCTGGTACGGGTCAATCAATACCTCTCAATATCATCTTTGGTTAGATTCTATGAGGTAGCTTTCTCGTATTCTCTTCAAAATCCTCAGCATCCAAAGAGGGAATTGTCCATTTGGGCATGAGAACTTCATCAGCCATGTGCACGACCCTGAATGCAACTGGGGGAGGGGAAAAAAAAATACGGTGGGGAACAGGATAAACGTGCTCACCTCTGAGCACCCTTTAGCAATGCCTCTTCATCCGGGGAAGCTGCAGCGTAGTTGCATGGGCCTCCTGGTTTCCCTGCATCGGTTTCATCTTTTGGCTGGACCTGAACGGTGTGGCAGAGACACAAAGCACGGAGGAAAAGTTCTTCTTGTCTCTGTGTGTGTCGGGGGGGGGGGGGGGGG